AATAGCGTGCGCAAAGCGCGACGCTCGTGCTCATCGAGCCTAGGATGTGCATCCCTCGATGCCGCGGACACACGGTCCGACATCGCACCGCGTGCGGAAGGGAAGTTGGGCTCTGCCCGTGTTCGCTGTCAGAACCAGCGAGACTTGGAGACTTCGGTGTCATTGAACACAGGGCTCATTGAGCACGGAAGTCGTTTCGTTTCAAAGCAGTGTCTAACCGACACGCAAGCCTCGTTGGGGCAATAATCAATCGGAACTGTAAATGCTCTCAATCTTAATGGGGGAGAGTGTAACGGGGTTACACATGCCCTGGTAACAGGTGTGTGTGTCACATCAGATGGGCATGGTGCGACCACACCCAAACAAGAATACGGTACGGGGCTGGATAGCCAGTAGTTATACATGTATTTGGACTTTACTATACATATTTAGGAAGATCTATGCATTTAAAAATAGCGGTTCGGCCGCAGATAAAAATAAATCGGTTTTTGATTCAAGCGGAAGAGTTAATTAGCCTTGGGTTAAGGTTGTAATTACTCTTGAAGTAAGCGGATTGCGATCCGCTAAACTCATACTTGTTCTAAGTATAGAACGAAAGGTCGGTGACCTAAATTACGCTTCCTCCAAGCGCAAAGCTACGGCAGCCACGCTGCATCCTGGGTCAGGGTCAATGCCCTGCGTTTTGCAGATAACATATGGCATCGCCGTCTCCTCTCTATATAGGTTCTACGTATCGTCGAAACCAGTCAGAACACGCACTCAGCATCGTCCAGTGTCCCTACACCCTGCTCCATCGGAGCCTTGATGTTAACAACAACATCCGATAAAGAGTTGCTATTTCCGCAGTCTTCATCATGTGGACAACGTGCCACTCACGCGCATCAGAAGAGCCTCGCCCAGGATGCCTCGGACCTCGTCCGATCATGCCAATCTTGACATGCAGCAACTTCTTCGAGACGTGAGCAGTGCTCAGCGGGATATGTGCCACTCCACGTTCAGCCCTCGAGCCACGCTCGGGACACCTGTCCGAAACACCTTCGGTGTCTGATAACTCGGATACTCCGATATCTAACACATTGACCGTTCCGGTCCGGTGCCAGTACCGATAGCTCTTCTGCTTCCTAGCAGAGGTGGGTTCATGACTCACCAGAGCTCCACCAGGAGACGTGCGCGTAGCGCCCAAGATCTTCGACCTCCAATCAATCCATGGCTCATGGTGTTCCAACCATGTCATACCAAGGATCTTGCATCTAGGTCTAAGCCAAAGCAGCATTCTACGCTATTAAAGTCAAGGAACTTGACACCGTGGTCTACAGGGACCCTCGGCACAGTGACACAAGTCTCCGTCACCAAGCGAACAGAGACGGTGTCAGTCAGCCGCGCCTCCAGCGCCTAAGCATACAGCTGGCTTCCTTCGATCGTGGATCGTCGATTATAATTTTCCAACGCACCAGAATTGATAAGAATTATCCATAGCTTCTCAAAGCCCTTCACTGTCGCTTTTACGAGCAAGCCCGGCTTGCACACACGTTCCTTGTTATGGACCGCGCAGCTCTTTGGGGCTGGGCTTTGTATTCCCTCTACTTCTTTGAGGCTCAACAGAACTCAGTTCTTCCCCAGTAGGGTGCCTTGCGCCTACTGAATTTTCTCGTTTCCCCACGTCAAACCAGATTGGTTAGAAGCGGGACGTCGGTTCGACGAATCTTTACGCGCCTTGCGCAGGGGACAACCCGTCCGAAGGTGACGGGTGTTTACACGCTGCTCAGCAGCTCGTAGCTTATCCTCCTCCTTCTGAGCTTGCTGAGATCCATTGGCTCAGGCCCGCCCGACGAAGTCTGAGGGTGTGCATTCCAACCAAGTCGTGCCTACTTGAAGTTGAATTCGGCATTTGATACCACATTCACTGCTTTCTAAAAGAAGATGGATGCACACGGAAGACTTCCATTCTGGCCACGCCAGTGCGAAGGCCCTCCATAAAGACGGTCACTGCAAACACCTCGAGGAGAGGATCTGCTGATATCCCGGCAATGAGAGCTCCCAATTCTTGGACAAAGTCCACCAACTCCTTCTTGCTCTATCGGGCAGCAAGGAAACGCGATCCGACCCGATATGTCTGATAAAGCGGCGAGAACACTCGCAGAAGCTGACACATCAGCTCCTTCCAGGAGGAAAACACCGCTTCCACCGGAATGCCGCACGTTAGTGCCCATTCTCACGCTCGACCCCCGAGCTTGGGGATAGCTAGCGTCAAGCGCTATTGCTCGTTTTGGAGCATGGCTGATGCCATAGCCATACCAGCAATATGGTATCCAGAGCAGGAGATTCTCTTCATCCCTACCCACAGAGGTCTTAACGCTCACCATGAGCGGCCTGGGTCGGAAGGAATCATTCTGATGACAGATTCTACTGTAAGTGCTCCAACAGAGCATTTTCATAACTTGAAAACACCTCAAAGCGCGCGCTTATGGCCTCGAACCCTTGCGCATCAATCTGCTCAGCGCCCTCAGGGCCCAGCAGGGGCATCAGCTTATTGAGCCCGTTCTGCATGCCCTCGGGCAAATAAGAGTATCACTCCATCCTCACAGAGGATTGGTCGTAATGACTGGGGCGTAGATTGACTACGAGTGGTACCAAGTGCAGCGGGGCTACCGTAGCTCTTTGCTTGGAGGAAGCATACCTAAGGCCACCGACCTTACGTTCTTTCCAAGAACCAGTTATAGTGTAGCGGATCGCAATCCGATATTTCTAACTATCAAAAACCTTAACCAAGATGAATGACAATCATTGTTCTGTTTAAATTCAAAACTGTATTTAATTGTTTTAGTTGCGGCGGCATCCAATATCTAAAACCCTAGGATTTCCCAATACTAATTCAATAATACCTAATTAATATGGTAATATGCATTACTACTGGCATCCTGCCACGTAATGGCTTCATGTTACGGTGTAGCCACACCACTGTGTTAGTACACTTGCTTGTGTAATACACACCTATGAACGGTCGCACACGATTGTGCGACCCGCTTTTTCATACAAGGGTATGTGTAACCCCGTTACACTGTTCCAGCCACGAACTGCCTTGTTGCTTAAGTGTAGCCACATCATTTTGTGGTCGTACCATCTTGTGTAACCCACATCATTGTGTGATCATACGATCTTGTGTGACCCACACCCTTCATACCAGGGCACGTGAAACCCCATTGCACAAGTCTAGCCAATGCAGTGCATTTGCGGTATGAATGTCGACTCTACTAGCAAGAAGAAGAAGACCTGACTATAGTAGGCGTCTGAGTCGATGGAATCATCGTCCAAGCTACGAGAGAAGCGGTAGTTAAGCGAGATAACTTACACATTCGATCACCTGGGATTGGCATCGAATTGTTTAAGTAGGAAACGAAGATCAATCATTGCCCCTCGGTCTCTATTCTGGATTCGATGGTTGCTTCGATAGAGCTTTACTAAGCTTTTAATAACGCAGCACATGTATTCATTTGATCCGTACGCTAGACGTATCACCTCTTCGATTCACGACGGTGACGTCGTGAATTATAGCAATTCATGGACTAAGCGACAATGAGCGCAAGCAACCCCAGAAAAAGGCAAATCGGCCTTGAGACGCACGATGAACACGTCCAGACATTGCGTACACGGCTTACAAGGCGCTGCATCAGACGCATATAGCGCACGTACAAACAGAGTTTGAATGCGGTTGCAATATGTGCCTTAAGACGCGTGCTGGTGCCGTTACAGATATGCCAACTACGCTCAATTTATACAGCGAGGCCAACTTTACTGCTCACGTGATAACAGGTATTCTCAAGTGCTACCCTCTACTGAAGCAAAAGACGCGATCACCCAGGCTTACACCACAACCTTCATAATGACCGTTCGTGAGCTGGCTAGCAATACATAGAACAGCGTATCGCACCCGTCTATAAACTCTGTTGTGACACCAGCGATGTCTTGTAAGATTTTCGGCTAATGAGAGGCTATAAAAGTATAGCATAACTGATTTTGACTCTGCGAGTGTATATTTCACGAAATTGATTGCCCCTTAAAGTAAAGTGTATCGACCGGAGCACTCAATTCTTCTAGAAAAAATCTATTGCACTGTCGTGACCACGCGCTGCGGGCTGAGATATGCGAGCTTAGTGACCATATCGGCGCAATATCGTCAGTTTGCGCACGGTAGAGGGCTTGTGTGATCTGATCACGAGTAAGAAAGCTGAAAATGGACATTCCTGACGATAAATGTGTTTTCGCACCATTGAATGTATGTGAAAACGTATACCCAGTAAATTAACTTCAGAAAAGTTTCAAAAAGAAATAGTATGCATATCACGAGGCCATAATGTCCTTGTCTGGAAGGTGATGCAAATATCGCACCATTTACACTTTCAAATCGATAACAGATTGTAGCTAGTCGTACAGACAGCTCAACTACAGTAGAACCTAAGTGCATCCACACAGAAGACGAATTTAATAGTGGGCTGTGAGCTATACGGACACAGAAAGCAACGTAACCTTTATCGTGCTCAATCAGATCGATGATGGACTTGCGTCATTTCTGACCGTCAAATCTTGAAGCAAGCATTAAAAAGATCAGTTTTGTGTTGGTGTTGCTAATCTGTAAATTGTGTGCGTAACAGATTGCATTTTATTGAATCTCAATTTGAGTTTCCTTTCTTTTTTCTTACGACAATATGACAGATCTGAGCCCAAACTATGACGACGTCTGGGCAAGATACTTTGACTTCAAAGAGGACGTGGAGCTGCCAAATGGAGACGTTAGTCATCATCAATGCGCTTTTTTCTTTTGTGTGCTAAAAGGTCTTTCCTGATATTCTTTGTGAATCTGCTTGAAGACGTTTTGTGTCTACCGCGCAGGCTCGCTAGGCCCACACGTTGTGCTGCTTCATGGCGGAGGTTACACATCCATGACCTGGTGTCTAGTGACAGTATGGAAAAACCTAATTACATAGGTAGGCTTCTAATTCGAGTTTAACAATCGACACATTCGCAGGCGTTGCTGAAAGAAAATTGCACGCTCCACGCCTTCGACTTACGAGGTCACGGCCATACGCAAACGGCGAACGACGAAGACTTATCTATTGAAACATTAGTCCAGGATACGCTTCATATTCTACAACGCGTGATCTCTTCGACAGGTCCGACGACCGGCGAAGCTGCTAACTCGAAAGAGCCGCAAATTATCATCGTTGGTCACAGGTATCATGGCTGCTGCGGGAGTATATTGAATAATACATTTATATGATACTACTGTGCTGCATGATGGTAGTCTGGGTGGTGCACTTGCCGTTCGTGTTGCTGCAACGGGCAAGGTTCCGTCTTTAGTGGGCGTCATGGTAATCGATGTTGTTGAAGGCACGGCCATGGCATCGCTAAAGCACATGGGTGCCATTCTTGAGAGACGTCCATCTTGTTTTCGTTCGCACAAGGAAGCTATCAACTGGGCACTGCATAGCGGTACTGTCCGCAACATGGAAGCTGTTGAAGTATCAATCCCGTCACAGCTGAAGCAACTCGACGATGGCTCGCTAGTCTGGAAAACGGACCTTGCGAGTAGTGCCAAGTATTGGCATGGTAGGTGCTTTCTTACTTTTAAAGCGTTTTGCTGGCTATTGTATCCTGATCGACCGTTCAGACTGGTTTTTTGGACTTTCGAAGCAGTTTTTATCTTTGAAGGAAGCCAAGGTGCTGATCCTTGCCGGTAAACTGTTTTTTTGTTATCATAACCAATAGATGTTGCTTATTCACTACCATACTCCATTAAGGTTCCGATCGTTTGGATACGGAGCTGATGCGAGGTCAAATGATGGGCAAGTTTGAGATGAGATTAATGTATTCTTCAGGACACGCAATTCAGGAAGATTGTCCTCACGAAATTGCGAATGCCATCAGTGACTTTACCGGCCGTTGTGCTCGTGCTGTTAGCGGAAACATCTTTGGTCCTGACGGCGTGCCAAGGCAATCTAACGAGGATCCAGTTTTAATGGAGCGACTCGCCAAAGCACGTGCTTTAATCCCGACAGTGGATTCATGTCCGTCTGTTCTACCTGCTGTTCATCCTACTACAAATACAATGAAGCTTCCACCTCGCTAAAAGTCTATGAAATGTATATCATTGCTGTTAAAGTCTAGCTTTAAACACATAAACCGTTAAAAGTTTGTACGGATCGCGCAACGAAGCTTCTGCTCCCAGAGTGCAACACTTGCATGCTTTTGTTTTCTATGACAATCTCGTTTGCCGCATCTTCGGACATGGATCGATGTTCCTTCTTGGCAGCGGGTTTGAGAGCAAATCGATTGTCGCCATATACAAAGACTGATCCAACCACAAGACATACGCCAAAGTAGAACGAAAGTGGAGCCGTCTCGTCAAACATATAGTTAGAGATGATGCATGACAAGATAAGAGAGAAGGACGTGCCAAAATTCTTCACAATGTTGTCTGAGTAGCGGACGACGGCAGCGATTGTAAGTCCACCGACTGCCTGCAGAAAAATGACAGCGAATACCACGGGTTGAAAGCCGTAAAAAAATCCAGAAGTCCACACTTGACCAAAGTTGCGAACGAGATCGAAACAAGTGACGAGAACGGATATGGCAGATAATTGTAAGTTTCGCACCCAGAGCGGGTCAATCGTTTGCTGCGTCTGAACGCCCTTGTGCGCTTTCATGACGCGCTCAAAGTAGGCTGCTGCAAGACCTGAATTGACTGCCAGTCCAAGCATGATACAGACGCCAATGAAGCGCTTGCTACTCGTGGCTTCGTCTGAGTGCTGCGAAGCACTCGGTAATCGTGAATAGGAGCAGATGGCCACACCAGCCATAAGTGCTACCATTGCGCACCACTGCACAACGCTGAAACGACGTTGCAGCAGTAAAATCATGAACATGGCCGTGGTAATAATCTTAAGCTGGTACACAATCTGGTACGTCGCCACGTCTACATAATCGTAAGCAACGAGCGCAAACATGTTTTGCAATGCGTAAAGAAAAGCAAGCACCGTCATTTTTGTAAGCCCTTTCTTATCAGCAAACACCTCAATCTGTAGTGTGAGCATAGTAGCTTTCAAGTTACCACGCTTAATCTTATACAGCATGAAGCAGCAAAGCACGAACTTGAGCAATTCCACGAGCAGCACAACAGTACTTGGACGGTATTTTGGTCCGTTGTTAGCGCGCGAGTACTTGGACACTATTGACAGTGCCGTATTTTGTAGTACGAGCATAATGAAGCTTAAATGCTTCATTGAAATCTTCATGAGATTAAAATTGGCGAGGCGTGTTGTACTACGTGTCACCACTTCGCCGCTATCTTGCTGACTATTGAAAAGGCATTGCAACACTTTTGAATTTGCGTATTATCCAATCAGCTTCAGCATGAAAAGTACAATGCTTCGTATACTGTAAGAGAAAACGAAGAAACATGGCGTCGGGTTTCGGCGAGGTCTGCGTGGCGTAACAAGCTTCTTTCATTTTCAGAATTGACATTGTTTTATACCCTAAATGATGTTTTTGAAGTTGGTGCTTGTGATTGGGGACCACCACATTCCAAATCGGTCGTCTGAAATTCCAGACAAGTTTCAAAAGATGCTGGTGCTGCTGACATTTATGGCAATGAGCATTTAAGTCTTTTTGTACGCACTAACTGTGACTCGAACAGGTTCCCAATCGAATGCAGCACGTTCTATGCACGGGAAATCTTGTGACGAAGGAGCAGTTTGAAGAGCTACGAAAGCTGGCGCCCAACGTTCATGTCGTTGCAGGAGATTGCGACCAGGTACTAGCATTCGGCATATTTAAGCGATCCAAGCCGTGCTTAAGGTATTACTGTAGGAGGGAATGTACTCTGAGACAAAAGTTATCACGATTGGCCAGCTCCGAATCGGTCTCTGTCATGGACATCAGATCGTACCTTGGGGTGACCAGCACAGTCTCGCCGCCTTACAACGAAAAGTACGTGATTTGTCTTAGCTAAAGCTGTAATTCTTGTGACTCGTAATTTCGATTTGACCTGCTGCGTAGATGAATGTGGATATATTAATTACCGGACACACCCATGTGTGAGTGATTTATTCGGGCTGGTGTGTTCAAAAGAAATGACTTTAATTGTGACATCGAAATAGATCACACATTCGAACGGAGCACGGAAAATGGTTTATAAATCCTGGATCTATTACTGGTGCATTCAGCAGCTGTACCAGTGACGTGACACCGAGCTTTATGCTCATGGCGTTGCAGGGTCTCAAAGTTGTCACTTTTCTTTACGAGCTCAAGGGCGACAGTGTTGTCGTTTCCAAAAGTGAGTTTACCAAGGAAATGTAATCTTTGGTCTTCAGCGATCGATATGTTAAATAAATACCTCACTTGCCAGAGTGGCGTACATGTTAGTTTTTTTCGTGCTAAGTGGGGGAGCATAACCAGAAAGTTTATTCTGGTATGAATTTTGTGTTGCTGCTTTTCGTACTCTACTTCGTCGTTACTACCAACTAATTAACTAAGACTGGTTAAGTTCTGCTTCGAGATCCTCAAGGAAAATAGCTAGATCTAAAATCATGGGGTTACCCACCCGTGGCAACACATTTACCTTGCAAGCCTCGTACCGCCGCCACATTTCAAAACCGCGAAGCGTATGCTCCATTTCTTTCAGCAAATGTTTACGTATGGCGGCATCTTTGCTGCTATTGCTGTTCACATTACTATTTGGATCGATTGGCGGAGTAAGGCCATTCTCTCGAGACTCAGGTGAGCGTCCAGGTGTGAAAAGCTCTGAATAAAATGATTGCAGTTTGCGGTGTTGCAGCCGGTAGACGGTTAGGTGGACAACAGACGCCATCTTGCACCCTAGAGCAGCAAGTCGCATGCTACCAGCGCTTTGAAATGCGCGAATGGTGCTCTCAATTAGTGACGTTGTTTGTGAGAGCGTTGTTACGCAATTTTCACCGAATGAGCGCGCGTGCTGAGTATCATTCTTTTCCTGGTAAGCGACTTTAACTTCTTGAAGCTTAAGTGCATACTCAAAAAACTTGCCACCTGATCGTAAATAATATTTGGCTTGCGTGAGCTGACCAGCAGTACCACGTTCACTCATACCACGACGGTTTCCTTCATGCTTTAGTCGTCGTGCCTCTTCCATTAGTTTTGCAGATTCAAGGCGCAACTTCTGAACATCACTACCAGGTGTAAATGTAATCGTAAAGTAGCCAGCAGATATCACTGATGCAATAGTTTGAGCAGATTCCTTTATCACCATATCGGATCGCTGCTTCACATTTTCAGCATTGTTTGTCTTGGCCTCCTTTTCTTTCAACTCTTCCTCTTCCTTTGAAGCTATTTCACTTAGTTTTCTTTTGCACACTTCACATGTTATCGGAGGGCTTGGTCCAACTAGAGCTGCAGGCTGCTGTGGAGATTGTGAGTTGTTAGCAGATCCATTTGACAACAAAGTGGTCGACTGATTTGTTGTGGAGACCTCGTCTGAAATCGACGTCTTCTTCGTGCTGCTGTTCTTGTTGCTGCTTCTACTAATATTGCTTGACTTACTTTGCTTGCTAGACTTGCTGAGACTACTAGACTTGCTGCATTTTATTGATTCGCAAGAAGAATTTTCAGTAGTCTCGTTTCTAATTTCATGACTTTTTGGCTCCACAGAAGGAGGTTCTTTCCATGTCACACGCTGAATATCGCCAGTGGCAAGTCTTCGCCGAAACTCTTCATGCTGCAGCAAACATTCACTTTGCAAAGCACTTGGTGGCAAATTACTATTTCCTGTGTGTCGTACGCTGAGCAAACAGTCTCTGACATACGTAGACATTTGCTTGTAATACTCTGAGTCTGGACGATGTCGTTTTCGCGCGCGAGATGCTTTAATTGGGTAGGTTATTGTCTCCTTACTACTAGTGCGATCAAGTGGTGCTGAAAAGGCTTCAATTTGAACAGGAGGCGTTGCAACAACAGAATGCTCGACAACTTCCGTTGCAGCCGCACTATGATTTTGATCTTCAGCGTCACTTTCCGCAACGGACAACAAGCTTTCGTCATCTGAATCGTCAGCATCGGATGTAGCGCCGGTCTCAGCTGACAACACTTTTCCACGCGATATTGCTGCCGGAAATCTGAGCTGCTTGCCGCGGCCTACACTGGCTGGCATAACTTCCACTGTGACATCCTGATTAGCGCTTGAATCTACATCATCATCTTCCTGATCATCCTCGGATGACAGCAGCGTGGATGATCCTACATCAGAAGAGGCTGCAGAGTCTCCTGAACTGGATGCAGCGCCATCTCCGCCAATAGACCGACGATGCAGGGCCGCCTCTTTACTAGATATAGCGCGACTGGGTGCATTTTTCTTGGATGATACAAATTTCCGCTTCGCCATCTGTGCATTAAAATGCAAGCGACGGTCAAAATCGTCTTACATAGACATCGTTATTTAATTCGAGATTTCAAGGCAGCATGACGTACCTTTTTCCTAGTAAATTAACGGCCTTGCACGTCTATTTCGGGTGAATGCGGGTATCTATCCAGGATGGCGTTGCGTCTTACAAATACCCCAGCTCCTTTGCTCGTACCAAGTCTTAAATAGTGTCAAAGGATGACAGAGCCGAGGGGGGTCAAGTAGCGGAGACACCCACCAACGCTCTCTTTTGCGTTTTGATAAAGATTTTCGCCTTGTCAGCGAGAACCTTAGTGAATCGCAAATAATCAGAAAGCCGAAAAGTGGTAGTCGCGTGCGACACTTTTCAACTGTTCCTTGTGTTGACTGCGAAGCTGTTCTTACAGTCGAGTAACAAGGAGTGAGCCGTGCTTTAGAATGCAAACACCCCCCATGTGGTACAAGTGCGGTACATTAATGTAACGCACGTCATAATGTGGTTGACATATATAAAGGCATTAGAAATGCATCATGTTCTTATAGTATGACAATAAAGTTTCTTTTAGAAACTCTTACTCCAAATGCAACGCTAATTAAGCAGATGTGACAGATTATGTTTTGACTGCTTTTCTTGAGGGACAATTTCTCTTTTCTACATCTTAAAGTACACATAAAAAGTGAGTCAACAGGTATAGCGACCACCAACGATGGATATCGTCACCACTTCCAACTTTCACGCCACGCTGCTGCCGGGTGCGTTCGTCAACAGCTACAGCAGCAACAAGGTGTGCTGATTCCTTCCTTTTACAGGCCTCGTAAGTGTCGTGTTTGTGCCGGCCGAACACATTCGCCACGGCAGCTGGCCACTGCTTAAGTGCGTGAGCTGCTAATGTGCGCGTACTTTGAAAAACCTGCCATATAAAGTCAAGTAATCTTTACTTTGTAAATGTTGCCTATAGTTTGCTACTGTACAATGGCTGTAGCTTTGATGAGAACGAGGGTGGTTGTGTTCGCACCGCGAGTCACATGTGTCGCGCCAAACAAACCGAGATCTTTTCCATTGTCTCGGACCGAGAAGGCACTACATTGTTTATGGATCCTAGTGGTGTCAACATATTTCAGCATGCGGTTTGTAACGATTCTTAAGCAAAACCTTACGACATGACGCTCAAGGTGCTTGATGTGATGTGACAGGGAATGATGGACGTGATTACTGTTGCTCCACAATCGTGGCGAGCAATTCAGGTGGGAATATTGCAATTCGTTGATCATAATTATAAACAATGTATTGCTTTTTACTTATTGTGATTGATGCAGATTCATTTAGGCCCGATGGTCGCTGAATTTCCAGGTGTCGTAAGATTCTTGTCAAAGCTGCTGGCTGATGATCATATAAGTATTCTCAACATGAGTACATACGACACGGACGTTATTTTTGTTCAAGAACACCACCTGAAGACTGCGATATCATGTCTGCAGCTAAAACTGTCCAGGGGCTTGCACGGATTAAAAGAGGTACTTGGAGCTATTGGGATTTAAGCAGCTTTAATTATATCGATTGATTAGAAACGCTGAGAATAGGCCAAAGAAGCAGAAAACGCTCGAGCACCACCGAATTATTCCTGTGACGCTGGGGAAAGCGGTGAAGTGACTGGTGGATTAGTAAGCGCTGTTCGTCTAGGAGATGGCCAATATCTAACAGGTTGCGTTGACCTGTTGTTCCCTTCTTATATCCGGTAAACTCACTCGGCTCGCAGTTTACGCGGAATCACTTGTACTTGTTAGACTAAAAAAGGATACGCTTCGAGCCAGTGCTTACGGACTAACGCGATTAGTTTTGTTGTCATCTGGGTCAGCTTCAAATGATAATAGTAATCGTGAAGGGCTAAGCGAGATGTCCTTTTGGTGCTTATGCGAGACCGCTGAGGAGGTGAGTGTCATCATGGACGAGCGCTGTTTGTCATCATTTGAGGAGGACTCTTTGATCATATCACCTGATCGATGGCGTGCGATTAAGCTGAGCGGTCGTGCATACGGCTTTGATGAAACTGGTGTAGTAGCAGTCATGTCGGGCTGCAGTACGGATGCACAGGTACTTAACGTGAGCTGCTTTGGCTCGAACATTACTTTTGTTCTTGACTGCATGTTGGACGAAGCGATTGAAACACTTTGTTCATCCTTGGACATCACGAGGGTCGAGAGATAAGTTGATGGGATTTTATAATCGCCCCCAGGTAATGAATCATTTTATTGCTGAAGAGAAGCATACGATAGGAATGGGGACATTCAAAATGTCGCTCGCGTGTTTTGGAATGAATACTTGAGTTCGAAATATCTTGTTGACAAATGCACAATGATATTCGCCAGAAATATACAATGAGAGTTTGATAGCCAGAATGCTTCGCCAGTACATTAATATGAACACCATCTTACAAGGTAATTCTAAGGAAGTCTTGAAAATTTTCAGTTGAAGCTTCTACAGCTCTACACCCTCCTGCTTTCGCTTCTCCGCAAGCAGCATTGTCCGTCGTTCCTTCAAAGCGCCAAGTTCACTTCTAATGTCGTTCCTTCGAGCATTAATTTTGCGTAAAGCGTCGCCCTCCGGTTTTTGCGCCAAACTCTTCGACAATGAAGCTTGCTCCTCTTTTAAAGTCTTTATCTTTGCATCCACCTCGCTTAACGCTGTTTCCATCTGGAATGATCACAATGGCATCAGTACTCAAACATAAGTTAGTCGACCAAGGCGAGAAACCATACCTTCTTCTTTGACTTAAATTTTAGGTCAGCCTTCTTTTCCACCACTTGGTTAAATAGTGCCTTACTCTCCTCCTCAACAACAAGTCGATGTTGGCGAACTGCCTCCAGTTTTGCGTGTAGCTGTCGCACTTTGTCCATTTCTGTCTTAAGATCTTTTGCGACTGGATCTTGCGAGTCCATATTGGCTTGAGCTTTGTGTTGTTCTAAGCGTTTCTTCGCATCCTCTACAGCCGCCGCGAGCTGCTTGTTGTCGCGCTTGTAACGCATACGTGCAGTTGCAAGCGCTTTAGCTTTTTCCTCTAGTGCCTGATTTTGAGCTGCAGTTTCTGCGTTAAGCGCTCGTTGCTCTTCGTTCTGCAGAGATGATAAGTATACAAGTAAGCTTTCTGTCGACAACTTCTGAGTTGTGTAAAATTAATTAACACACCGCAAGCATATCCTTTTCAGTCTGTCACAATCAGCAATACAAACACCAGCAATATTTTATCAGCAAAAATGTCATGTTCGATGTTGTAAATGTTCACAACGCACCGCTTCTTTACGCAAAGCATCGACTGTGACGCGGTGTCCCGATACACTCACTTGAAGCTTCTCATTTTCTGCTTGAATTTTTCTGTATTGGGCCACAAGCGCGTCAAATTTTTTCTGTTGCAAAGTTAATTCCCTCGTCTGTTTGTCGTGCTTGGTACGCAATTCCTTTTCCAGCGATTTGGAGCGTGACGTGGCTTCCTTAATCTGTTCCTCCAAGTTTGCAGTCTTCTCGCGCATCAATTCTTCTGTCGGCGCATTTGTCACATCGTGTGCATTGACTAACCACATGACGTCGGTCAGACTGATACTTTGATAATCTTTTGTGTTGTCTTTTTTTCCACGATGAGCAAAGTTGACGTTGACACGGAAACCTGTTTGAGTCTTCTGAGCTGTACGCATAAATGGATCGTCGTTATCATCTGGCACGTAATCATTCACATGTCCACTTGCCGTATCACCCCAGTTCGTCGAATTCGCTGATGAAGCTAAGGATTTGGTTTCGGTTGAATCTGTCGGTGACTGTGGTGTATTTTCATCTACACATTGGCGATAACGAATCCATCGACGTCGACGAACTGCGTCCGTGGGGTGACGTGAAGCGTGACTTAAATCATCCCCAAGCAATCGAACTATTTCTACAAAGTCAGCGGCATATGTCCATCCGTCACGGTCCACTGCAGTATAATTTTGATCAATTTCCCAGTCTGTAACCCATTCATAACCAGCAGTTAGATCTCCCTCGGGCTTCTCGTCTTGCCCTGCACCAGGTGCCGCATGGCGGTCACTGAAACGTTTTGGATCCATAGCCTGCAACTTTCCTTCAAGACGTTCATTTTCAAAAATTTCCACAATCACTTGACCATCACGATCGACATCTTGTGAGCCTCTCGTCTGCGTCCCAGCTTTACCTCCTTGAACTGCTGTAGTTCCTTGAAGCGACTGCAAACTCCTATTAGCCTGATTGACGAGCGCTACCATGCGTTGTACCCCAAAAAATCCTCCACCCGCTGCTTTGACGCTGTTGGGCGTCTCTAGACCTGTGGACAACACGATCTATCAGCATATAAGGCAAAATATTCAAAGAGGACATTAGATATCGTCGCATGCACGGCCATACGCTTCGTTTCTGCCTCTGTGGGCAAGTCCCATTGTGTGTGGCCTGACGCAATGTGCAGATAATAGTCCCTCCCGGAATTTCGGCTGCTAATCAGTCGCCATCCCGGAGGTAAATCCTCACAAAAAGATAAGGAAGTACCTGCAGCTCCTGAAGATCCAGCAGCGTTTGAGCTAGCTGCGTGGTTGGCAGCTGCGGCAGCTGCTGCACTCTCAACATAGCTGTTGCCTGGAAGAATACTCCCGCCGCTGATGCTGCTCATGGCCGACGCGGCGGCACCAAAAATGCTGGTGCTTGTGCTAGCACTTCCATTATTGGCATTACCTCCAGCACCGCCCAGACGCAGGCGTGAGATCATCCTGACGGTACAAGGATGAGGGGAACGACAGAAGACGACGAGCGAGCTTCCTAGACTTCCTCAATAGATGCCCTGGACTCAGATTATTAATACCGGTACTAGCTTCTCTCCTTATAAATTTATACTCAGACACATGGCTACACTCACTAAGGTATATATTGGTGTACAATTACATTAAAGTCTTTTTCATTTATTTGCGGAAATGTTTATTTCCTTAGCGTTGGCGCGTGCGCTCTCGAGGTCTTCCGACTCACCCGGAAGCATCGAATACTGCGTCCTTTTCAATTGCAACCCACGCATCGACCTTGGATTAACAGACGATGAATTTTCGCTTCTTGAAGCAATCGAGGATGTATCTGTATCGTGATTCTCTGGCTCTGTTTGTCTATCATTTGTAATTTCACTTCCGACTGTAAGGTCAAGCTTTTTGAGATCTGTACCTGTTGACGTCGCAGCATTGATAGCTGATACGTCAGCAAGTGCCTGAGGATGGTGGTATATATACATTGATATGATAAGCACGGTCAATCCGCAGCCAAACTCAAGTGACGGATGAAAAGAGAAGAAGAGCGTTGACAAAAGCATTGTGAGCATCATCGCCATGGAATGCGAATAGACGCAAGCAATGTTGTCCATGTATTTTAGAATCAGACCCATGCCAATACCACCAATGCTGTTCACTGCTACAACAGCGAGCGTCCAGTTGCTATAGTCATGAAAGAAACCATGATCCGCAATCTCTTCTCCGTCAATCAAAGTAACTCCGACAGCGTTAAAGAGGATGCCAAAGATATACATTTGCATGTTCTGCCATAGAAATGAACAGTTCGACTTTCGCTTAAATGTCCACTCGGTAAAAACACTCGCACATGATGACAGCATGACTCCGACCAGCACCAGTAAGACACCAATGAAGAGATCGTGGGCGTTTTCGTCCGCAGCCGCGTCTTGTGTATCCATGTCGCTGCCACTAGTGCTTTTTAAAGCCATTGCATCCTGCATCTGTCGCAAATGATTCGACTGACTCGTGAGTACACCCAACACTAACAAAACAATTGCAGCTTTGCGAAGTTCCGACAATGGTTGCTTTAGGACGAAGCGAAATAATATAGCAGTGACCACAATTTTGAGATTCCAGAGCACCGAGAGTGTTGCGGCGTCTATGTAGCGCAATATTACGTAATTGAGGTTGTTGTCAATGGTGTAGAGAAAGGAAGGCACAGCGTAGTAAAAGGCCTCGATGGACACGAAATGCGCCGGTGGCAATGTCTTTGTCATGACGATCACGGAGAGCATTACCATCGACTTAAGCATCTCAATGAGCAGCGTAACGGTGGTGCTGCTGTACAGGATCTGACCGTCCTGCTTAGACATACTAATACACAAGTTTCCCGAGCACATGAGGGTTGCGACCACCAGCATGCCAGCAATTGTACGCCCGAGCTCCATTTTGCCGACGAAACAGCGAGATATTGTACTCTTAAGTCGCGACGTAACGCCAGTTTCTGAACGCAACACAAATACCGGTACTTTGCAAATTCAGTAGTAGTAAGTAGTATTCATAAGTAGTATCTACATCTAAACAGTAAAAATTACAGATGTGTAATAAGCTCCTAAAAAATACCCCATATTGTACCTGCGCACTATACCAAATTGAAAATGTAGTCCATTTTACACGTATCTCACGCCATTCCTTAATATTCATGCTACCATATTCGCTCACAAGCTATCCTCTCCACAGTAGTGGCATGGGTTGTGGACAATGCTTCGGTCCTTACGGTGTGTAGTACGACTTGGTATTCTCGCTGTACAAGCTTTGAGATCGATCCAAATATGCGAGAAAGGTCGGCTGCATACTAAGGATTGCCGTCCGTGATCATCAGGATCTTCAATCTCAGCAAAATGAAGTAATGTTACATCTCAGTCAGGGTCGAGTTGGAATAACAAATGCTTAGCAAATATCAAATATGCTACTTGCAGCGCTGCCGTAGCTAAGCGCTTGAGGAAACGTACTTTAGGTCACCGACCTTTTGTTCTTTACAAGAACCAAGTATGAGTTAGCGGATCGCAATCCGCTTACTCCAAGAGTATTTATTGCCTTCCAAAGGCTATCTTCGCTTCAGATTCGAAACTGATTTTTTATCCTAATTTTAAAAGTTTAGATTTTCCTAAAATCACTAAATATATATAGTAAAATCTATATACATGCATAACTGCTGGCTACCTAGCCCTGTACCGTATTCTTGTTTGGGTGTGGTGACATCATGCACATCTCGTGTTACACACGCACCCCCCTGTTATCAGGGTTCGTGTAAACCCGTTACACCCTCCCCCATTAAGATTTACAGTTCCAATCGATTATTGCCTTGCGTGTCCGCTAGGCACTGCAACTCATCGAAACGGCTTCCTTGCTCAATGACCCCTGTGTCGTTGACACCAAAATATCCAAGTCTCGCTGGATCTGACGGTGAGCACGGGCAGAGCCCAACTTCGTCTCCCTCGGTGCAACGTCTGACAGTGCGTCCGCAGCACCGATGGGTGTATATCCTAGGCTCAATGAGCACAAGCGTCGCGCTTCGCACGCTGTCAGTTACGAACGACCTAGATGAGGATGTGGGGTTGGTCGACTACGAGTCTGACACCCCTTTCCGACATGGGATGACAAGGAAGGCGAGCTGCACCAGCAGCGTGATACGATCCCTGCTCCCATGTGTGTTCCCTGACTTCTCGTCAACCGAAAAACGTGGTGTAATCACCAATGACCTCGACGGGGCTCAGAGGCGGCAGCTTGAAGCTGC